TGGGTACGTAGCCTGACTGCCTGCCCCAAAGGTAGGATATGATTACGATGCAGGACTTTGACTGGCCCATCACCATCAACAGGTTTCAAACGATACACAGGAATGCCAGAGAATTGACTCTCCACTACATAGGGATTAGCACTCCATCTGTCTGCAAGCTTTTGTTTTCCTTTTAGGCCAAGATTTCGAATCAGAACTCTGTCCCCAGCATTCAGACTATGATAACGGACTTTTTGATCATACCGTTCTTTGTTACTCTGATTCATCTTTTGAGCAGTAGCTTGAGCTAACTGATAAGCTGCCTGTAATTCCTGCTTCATTTTGGCCACATACTTCAAATATGACACAGGAGAGGTGTTGTCAGGGGAAACTCCAAAGCATACGTCAACAGGTAATCGAGCCTCCCTGCCGAACATAAGAAAATAGGGGGAGAAACCAGTGGCCTCGTTGACAGTACAATTGTATGCATGGACAAGATGTGCTATGTGTTGACCCCATTGGCACTTCTGACTAGTCTCAAGCGTACCTAACATATCCAACAAGGTCCGGTTGAACCTCTCCGGCTGAGGATCACCTTGCGGATGATAAGGTGAGGTTCTTGACTTCTTCACATTCAGCATTGTCAACATGTCAGACACCAACCGGCTCTCAAAATCCCTGCCCTGGTCCGAGTGTATTCGAGTTGGAAGGCCATAATGGACGAAATACTTTTCCCATAATGTCTTTGCCACAGTGGAAGCTTTTTGGTCCCTGGTGGGGAAGGCTTGAGCATATCGGGTGCAATGGTCCATGACCACCAAAACATTACACACGTTGCGAGAATCTGCTTCGATGGTAAGAAAGTCAATGCATACGAGATCCATAGGCCCTGAACTCTGCATGTGGGACAATGGAGCGGCTCTCTGAGGCAGTGTTTTCCTCTTTATGCAGCGTTCACATGTTTTACAGTAGGCCTCTACATCATGCTTCATGCGTGGCCAATAAAATCGGTCACGAACCAGACTGTAAGACTTATCAAAGCCTAGATGTCCTATGTCATTGTGCAAAGATTTCAACACCATACTGTGATACTGCTTGGGAAGCACAAGCTGTCGCTTCACTCTTTGGTCACTCAGCTTAATGGTTCTGTACAACAAGCCATTGTCTACTGACAACTTCTCCCATTCTCGTTTCAGCAACTTCATCTCAGGGTGGTTGTGATGGATACAACTTGCAGGTTTCTTATGACAGACAGCTTCCCACACATCTGCCAAGCACACATCCTTCCTCTGGGCAGCTTGAAGCTCACTTGAAGTAAACTCGGGTAAGTGGTCAGCAACTAATGCAGTAGCTTGACAATAAGCCTTAGGAACAGCAGACATATGGGCCCCTATCTGTTGTACAACACATGGATAAGAGAGGCAACCTGTTTTTTTCTCCACAGACATTTCCTGACACAGGGCTCGGACACCTGCGGATGGAATTTCCTGCCACTCATCATCAACACTTGGGTGAGTATGTGGTCGTCTGGACAAGGCATCAGCGTCAAAGTTCTTTTGGCCTGGTCTGTATTTCAGACTGAAATTGTAGGTGGTGAGGGCTGACAACCAACGGTGACCAGTCGCATCAAGTTTCGCTGACTTTAGTATATAGGTTAGAGGGTTGTTATCAGTTCTAACCTCAAACTGGACACCGTAAAGATAGTCATGCAGTCGGTCTACAATTGCCCACTTCAGAGCTAAAAATTCCAGTTTGTGCGCAGGGTAATTTCGCTCTGAAGGAGAAAGGCTTCGACTGATGAAGGCAACCGGATGGAGCCCTTTTTCATGCTCCTGATACAAAACCCCTCCAAGTCCATCCAGGCTTGCATCCACATGCAAGATGTAAGGCTTTTGAACATCGGCAAAGGCTAGCACTGGAGCTTGAGTGAGACAAGTTTTAAGTCTTTGGAAGGCAGCATCACACTGATCCGTCCATCGGGAGCCAAAAGGTTCAGAGACTTTGAAGCACGGCTTGGCATTACAAACAGGTGAGCTGATGGGTTTCTTGTTAGAGGATGGGTACCCCTGCAGCAGTTCATTTAGGGGCCGGCACAACTTTGAGAAATCCTTCACAAATCTGCGGTAATATCCACAGAATCCCAAAAACGCTCGAAGCTCTGTCACTGTTTGTGGTTTGGGCCAGGACATAACAGCCTCGATCTTAGAGGGGTCAGTAGACATTCCATCCTGTGAAACGATATGGCCCACATAGTTCACAGATGTCCTGCCGAATTGACATTTATCAAGGGAGATCTTCAGTCCTTCATCCCTCAACCTATCCAGAACCTTCAACAGCCGCTGTTGGTGCTCTTCAAGAGTCCGCCCGAAAACAATTAGGTCATCTAAGTAAACAAGCACCTCCAAGAAGTTCATGTCTCCTACAGTTCTCTCCATGACCCTCTGGAATGTGGCAGGTGCTCCACAGATACCCTGAGGCATACGCTCAAATTCATAAAAACCCAGAGGGCAGACGAATGCGGTCTTTTCCTTGTCGGGGCCACTCATTGGTATTTGATAATATCCACTTCTCAGATCTAAAACGGTAAACCACTTACTCCCAGAAAGACTGTGAAGAGCATCTTCAATTCGGGGTACGGTATATTGATCTGGTATGGTCCGTTGGTTGAGCGTCCGATAGTCCACACACATTCTGACCTTCCCTGACTTTTTACGCACCACTACAATGGGTGAAGCGTAGGGGCTTCGGGACTCTGAAATCATGCCAGCACTCTTTAGTTCTTGTAGATGCTGCCTCACATCCTCCCAATCAGCTGGGGCGAGACGTCTAGATCTTTCTCTGAAAGGACGCGAATCATTCAGCCTTATCTCATGCATGGTACTTTTTGCACAGCCCACGTCCCACTCATGAAGGGAGAACACTTCTTTTCTCTGCATCATCTCCTCACACAAACTCTGTTTTGCTTCTTCTGGCATCGGTGAATCTCCAAAATCAAAGCATGTAGGTGACAAGTTACTTTGTTCTGACTGTGGGTTGGAGGAAAGTTGCAGCACCATGGTCACAGGAAATACATGAGCAAGAGGAGTTCCTCGCTTTATCCATACTTCTCTTGTAGAAGCGTTCCTAACAGTCACCATGACTCGTCTGCTGGACACAATGGATTAGGGGTGCAACGGTACAGATAGCCCACGGTACGGTCCGTACCTCGGTTTTTGGGCCACGGTCTCGGTTCGGTTTCGGTACATGTTTTGTGCAGAAAGAGACTGCTATTTCATCCCAAAAATATGTTTTATTTTTCTTATGAGCATAAACAGAATGTCACAGTAGGAAGAACATCAATGTGTATGGAATAAATTAACACTCTAATCTGTACTGAACAACACTAAGCAATACAACCTCTTCAAATACCACTTATGATATACAAAATGTAAACGAGCACACTTTAAAATATTCAAGTGGATACCAATTCCAAACCTTGATAACTGGTAAATGAAGTGATCAATGTGAAAGAAAAAGTGCACTTTTACCTACATAAATTAGCTTGTGGTTTGAATAAAAAGAGCAGAGCAAAATAATACAACAAAAAAAAAATACTGCATTCAGGATACAAAGTGCAATGTTATTTACTCATCCACTTTTGAGAGATTCTTGTGCAAAAATATACTGCAGTCAAACATTTGACTGGGTTTGCGTTATGCATCCACTATGTGCTGGGAATGTAGAGAGTAGGCTACGTGGAACCGCAGGTGAGGCGTTTATTTAGTAAGCGTGAGCACGCTGGGGCGGGCACGTAACTTACATTCGCAGCCTGACTCATATGAGTATTCAATGTGCGGCGGCTCACTAACAACAGTTGGCCGTTTTGAATAAGACGACCCGTGTGAACGGGGAGCGCTTTATGAACATCTATGACGCGCGAGCAGCGCTGGTCTGTTCGAGCGCTCGTGAGCAACACACACATAACCTGATACGAGGTTGAACTGGCCGTGTGACAAAGCGGGCATAAGCTGGACACGAGTGCGAGTTCGCGGGCGAATTTAATAACGCGGAGCGTTGTTAACTAATTGATCCATATATAGTAATTAGGGCGCTCCGGAATATAAGGCACACTGTTGTTTTTTGAGAAGATTAAAGGCTTTTAAGTGCGCCTTTTATAGTGCGGAAAATACGGTTAAAGGATCAGCACGAACTCTATGGCAGAACCGAAGTCCCGCGGGACACGAGGTTAGATTGTCCCGTGCAGGGCTGACCGAACGGTCCGGGATTTTACCGTGTACCGTTGCATCCCTACAATGGATGCTGAGTGAACTTCAGGTCTCACTTGCAAGTCAACAGTAAAGGTGTCAGCAACTTCCGCTTTATCTACTAACAACAAAGATTCTGTCATCTGGCTGGATAATTTAGGTAGACCTGGGAGTTGCATAACCTGACCTGGTTTCAAGACAACAGGGGAATGCTTCACAAACCAAACTGTTCCATGTTTGTTTGGATCATCCTGACACACGTCTGTCTGCTGAATAGACTCAAATGCCTCTCGTATTACAGGATGCATAGTCAACACGTTCAGGAACTTCTCTCCAGCCTGTTCACGACAAGACTCAAGCAGCTTCTTCACTAAGTTAGTATTGGTCCCAACCAAAATGGCTATCCCCTCTCTTTTCAAAGGGTCTGGACACACAATTGCGAGAGTGTCAACCACCTGATGCACCCCAGCCACATTTTCTGTAAATTCAAGGGTAAGTATCCATCATACGGGTATTTATGTGAGCTAAGACCCCAGATCTCAAGGTTTTCCACAGGGTGAAGAGGCAAGTGCTTCAGATACGCATCATAGAAACTACGATACAATAGAGTGACCTGAGAGCCACTGTCAAGAAGAGCTTTTGCGTAAATCCCTTCAATTTGAACAGGCACCTCAGAGACAGGCCCTACTAAACCTACAGGCAATCGTGGCTGGCCAACATCAAGCAGCGATGAAACATGAGTGGAACGTAGATTATCTGGAGCTCCGTGTCGTTCCGTCACTGAGCTCCGCTGAAGTTTCCCTGTAAGCGGTGCATTTTCATCAACTTCTGATTTACCTTCCTAAGATCCTCAGGTCCTTTGCACTCCCACTTCTTATGACCATCTTCACCACAGTTATAACAGAAGATACCAGGCAAAGTTAACTTGGAAGTTTTGGGCTTGTAAGCTGTGTCTCGGTTAATAGCTTCCTTTGTCTGACTGGGCACTTTCTGTGGGGCACATTCAGAGGCAGGGGTCACAGTGGCCATGCTCAACAGCTGACTCACCTGAGTAGACAATTCTTTAACCTCCTTCTTCAGATTTTGTAATTCAGGTGGCACAGGCACAGGGGGAGTGGCAACATTGGACACAGAAGCTTTAACATTCTCTCGAGCAGCTACCCAATGTTCTTCCTCTCGAACTTCCTTCATCAACTGTGAGAAAGAAGGGGGATCTTGCACAGTGTGAGTCATTCTGATTCGCAAAGCAACCATATCATTGGTCAGAGCCCCCTTAATCAGCTGCTCCATTCTGGCTCTATTTATACCTGCTGCCTCAATCCCACCCTTCAACAAGGCTCTGTGGAGAAGTTTATCTAGGCGGTACAAGAAAGCTGAAAGTTTCTCTCCATTTTCCTGGTAGGTATGGCGAAATCTAGCCATAAGGTCAGGCCCACTCTCAGTAGTTCCATATACAGTCTCAAGGGCAGCCAAGTATTCATTTGCAGTCGCTGATGGGCTACTCACTTTAAGAAACCTGACAATATCAGCCGCGGGACCTCGCAAACTCTCACCGATGCGTTGCTTCTTTGCTGATTCGGTGCATTGCCACTCACTTATCATTTGAGCGGCCTGCTCCATCCAGACTTCATACTCTTCTTCACCTGGAGGGATAGGTTTCAACCCTGAGAACAACCTCAGTTTTCTGTAACTAGGCCCATCACTAGACACCTGATTACACCGATCTACTAATTTGCCTATGGCATCAACTAGATCCACACTGATGTCAGATTTAGGAGGCTGATTTTCCAAAAGCATGGCCTTCACTTCATCCATGGACATGCCCTCCTGCTGTAACAAGGCTTGCAGCTTTAAGTGGAATGTATCACCTTTGGGGGCAGGACCATGTCCCAATAAGTTCACACTCCAGGGTCCAGCTTCATTTTCTATACCTATCTCAGGAGGGATAACATCAGGATCTAGATCAGCACTGGTCTCCACTAAAATAAACAACCATCTGCCGGTGACATCACCACGGCGACCACGTATTCTAGTGCGACCAAAAACTTTTACTGTGTTTAACACTTTTTCAATAGTGTCGTTACTGGCATCCAAAGAAACATTGCTCAAAACAATAGCACGTGAGACATCAACGCTCTCTTCTCTGCTCCACTCAACAGTCTGCGACAGATCCATAATTTTGAAAGTAAATTCAAATAACTGGTATTATGGCAAAATAAAACAAATTGTTTTCAGATCAGCTGTTACCACTACACTAAATAGAAGAAAATATAGACGCTGGTAAACAGGGAAAAAAGAAGAAAGAAAAAAAAATTATCCCAGCGGTGCCTCCAAAAATGTAACCCTTTTATTAACCCTGGGGGTTAATTTTTTTTATGTTTCCCAAAACAGAAAACCCTGAATTCCCGGCAGTCGAATGGTGAATTGGCCGGAGTTTAATTTCTTCTTTATCAAACTATTAAATAGTGCGTGATACCTCCACCAGGGAATAATAAAGCAAAATAATCTACTTATAACTGTCACGGCTGCGGGTTCAGGCAGAAGAACAGGCGGGGTACAGAATCTCGGTAAAGAGACATTTATTTCAAACACAGGCTGGAAGACGGGATACACAGCGTAACATAGAACATTGACCGACAAAACTGAAACAAACTGGACTGAACTAAATACACAGAGGAATCAGGGTTAATGAGGTGAACACAGGTGAAAAAGATAATGACAGGACGAGGAACAGGTGGCTGATTGGGGAGTGAGTCCGGGAGAGGAACAAAAGGATCCGGGGAAGTGTGGTGCAGATGACGGGACAAACAGGTGAGGACGACAGACTGTGACATTACTCCCCCCTCCCGGAAGGCGTGGCCTCACGCCATAACATCAATGGGGAGGGGGGGTGGGCACCCTGGAGGCTGTGGAGGGCGTGGTCAGGAGGAGACAGCCCCCCAGGGCGGAGCAGTCTGAGGGCGTGGCCAGGGCGGAGCAGACTGAGGGCGAGACCAGGGTGGCGCAGGCTGAGGGCGAGACCAGGGCGGAGCAGATGGAGGGCGTGGTCAGGGCGGCGCAGGCTGAGGGCGAGACCAGGGTGGCGCAGGCTGAGGGCGAGACCAGGGCGGAGCAGCTGGAGGGAGGACCCCTGGTGGAGCCGATGGTAGTGGGGCCGACTGACAGGGGCGGAGCGGATGGGAGAGGAGACCAGGGTGAAGCTGAGTGACTGACGACATGTGGTGCTGATGAGGGACTGAGGGAACATGGTGATACCGTAGGCTCTGGTGACTGAAGTGATGACAGGGGCACGGAGGGACACAGTGAGGTCAGAGGGCGTGAGGGCTGACGGGTGACTGGAGGGAGTGAGGAGTCCGACAGAACCGCGGGGGTGACATGACGGGGCGGAGCCAGAGGAGTCCAAAGGTGAAGGGAGGACGACGAGGGAGCGAAGGGAGTCCGGAGGGTCGAGGGAGCCTGGCCGAGCTGGTGGACTGAGGGGCCATGGAGGAGCTGAGGGAGGTAGGAGCCACGGGGGAGCTGATGGGACAGAGGGCCGAGGAAGTGTCCAAATGGAGGAGGTGTGAGGCGAAGGCCGGGGATCCAACGACCCAGCTAGGTCAGGGGAGCTGGCAGGCGGAGGGGCTGACGGATGCATGACGGGAGGAGGTGGGAGAGGGAGGCTGGGTGGGATCCTGGTCTCGGGCTCTGGCTGGACGGTCTCGGGCTCAGGTTGGACGGTCTCTGGCGCTGGCTGGACGGTCTCGGCCTCTGGCTGGACGGTCTCTGGCGCTGGCTGGACGGTCTCTGGCGCTGGCTGGACGGTCTCAGGCGCTGGCTGGACGGTCTCTGGCGCTGGCTGGACGGTCTCTGGCGCTGGCTGGACGGTCTCTGGCGCTGGCTGGACGGTCTGGACGGGACTGGTTGGAACCAGCAGTGAAGAGCATACAGTCTCTGGAGGGCTGGACGGAACCAGCAGTGAAAAGCATACAGTCTCTGGAGGGCTGGACGGAACCAGCAGTGAAGAGCATACAGTCTCTGGAGGGCTGGACGGAACCAGCAGTGAAGAGCATACAGTCTCTGGAGGGCTGGACGGAACCAGCAGTGAAGAGCATTCAGTCTCTGGAGGGCTGGACGGAACCAGCAGTGACGAGCGTTCAGTCTCTGGATGGCTGGACGGAACCAGCAGTGAAGAACATACAGTCTCTGGAGAGCTGGACGGAACCAGCAGTGAAGAGCACACAGTCTCTGGAGGGCTGGACGGAACCAGCAGCGAAGAGCATACAGTCTCTGGAGAGCTGGACGGAACCAGCGGTGAAGAGCATTCAGTCTCTGGAGAGCTGGACGGAACCAGCAGTGAAGAGCATACAGTCTCTGGAGGGCTGGACGGAACCAGCAGTGAAGAGCATACAGTCTCTGGAGAGCTGGACGGAACCAGCGGTGAAGAGCATTCAGTCTCTGGAGAGCTGGACGGAACCAGCGGTGAAGAGCATTCAGTCTCTGGAGAGCTGGACGGAACCAGCGGTGAAGAGCATTCTAGCGATGGAGTGGGGCTGGTGACGTCATCCACGGTAAAGGGAGATCCACATGTCACCAGCACCCACTCCACATAGGCCGCAAAGTCCCCTCGAGGCCCGTCTCCGGGCAGGCGTGCCTGGGTTTCAGCATTTAGGCCTGCCCGGAAGAACACACAGAGGCTGGTAACATCATAGTGAACATGAGGTACCAAGTCCAAATACCTCTGTGTGTGGGCCTCGAGGGATTGATCCTCCTGCTCCAGGAGGAGAAGTTGCACAGCTGCTAAATCCATGTTTGGAGGTCGGTCAATCTGTCACGGCTGCGGGTTCAGGCAGAAGAACAGGCGGGGTACAGAATCTCGGTAAAGAGACATTTATTTCAAACACAGGCTGGAAGACGGGATACACAGCGTAACATAGAATATTGACCGACAAAACTGAAACAAACTGGACTGAACTAAATACACAGAGGAATCAGGGTTAATGAGGTGAACACAGGTGAAAAAGATAATGACAGGACGAGGAACAGGTGGCTGATTGGGGAGTGAGTCCGGGAGAGGAACAAAAGGATCCGGGGAAGTGTGGTGCAGATGACGGGACAAAACAGGTGAGGACGACAGACTGTGACAATAACTTACTTCCCCTAAAATTCTATATTCCCTTTTTTTCCAATATAATCTAACTAATAAATCAAGACAGCAATTCTGAATAAGGAGGAAAAAAATAATAACAATGATTTATTTGACACTATTAAGACACCTTTTTTTCAGAAAAAATAAAATCAATCAATGAATAACAGCTGTGGTATCAAAGTGTAAAAATAAAAAATGGATTCTGTGTTGTTCAATATAAACACCTTTCCCCCTCAAACAATTAAGTATGCAACAACCTCAATAACCTCTGAGGATTCTAAATGATCACTAAAAAAAAAAAAAACACTCTCCCTTCTTATTTCAAGAGGGGAAAAAACTACACCAAATTATTATTGAAAACTCACAATTTCTCCTTTGGATCAGTTTACACAATTCACCGAATGAACTCTGTCAGTAACACACAATAAATGAGTTTGATCAGTCTCTTACAGAAGGAAAATAAATAAATAAAATAAAACCCCACACACACTCTTTTGGCTAGCCGTTGTGGCCCAATCGTTGGTGCACTTTCACGGGAATGGATTTAAGTTAACTCAGTACCAAGAGGATTTGTCGAGACGAATTCACTTACATTCCATCCAGGGAAAAAACGAAACAGTGCAGTGATCACTTACAGGTCGAACCACGAACAGAACAGTCACGCAGCCCGGCGCGGGATGAAAGTCCAGTTCAAACGCAACGACGAAGCAGCTTGCGATGAATCTCGTCCCCCACAGTTACAAGTCATTTGGAAGTTCTTCTTGTGACAACAATACAGCTGTCAATGATGCAGTTGTCCTTAATGCGAGTTTCTCCGTCACATCGCACTGTTAATGCACTAAACAGATGACGCAATCCAACGACAGAGTGGGTTGAAATTATACTAAATACAGTAAAATAAAAATCACACTATGCAAACAAAAATCGGGTGAAAGTTATATTTGTCACTTTAGGCCTGTACTCACACAAGTAACAAAGTCTCTAAGAATGACGTAAACCGAGGACATGTGAGTAGCTCTTCGCCATGTGTGATCTCCTTCTGTCGTCTCTAAAACGTAACTCAACGCAACTTACGTCCGTAAACTTTAAATAATCTCAATGCTGATTGGTCAACATTAATACACACTTCAGTTCAACAGAACACCTTATTTGAGTAAAGAAAATCAGTTTACATAATACAGAAACAAAGAATGTTGGTACACTTTGTTACATTGCACTCAAAAATAATAAAAACAAATAATCAAATGTATACATTTTAATACTCTGCACTTTTCAAATTAAGGCATATTTTAAGGGGTCACTACATGATGTTTTCTCGTCTGTGCACAAATTAGATTAAATCCAAGGGAAAGCACTTCTGTTGTCTTTTCATTGCTCAGAGGAAAACGTTAGTTCTTGAGTGCATTTTAGTAGAATGGCTATTGCAATAATTTCATTGCACAGAAGTTAGTTCTTTCTTGCATTGCAACTATCTGCTTTATGCACACCGAAATGAGTTATTGCATTGTAAAGCTAATGCAACGATTTCTCTTCATCATACGATTGTAACATCTAAATGCAATGATTTTCCTTCAGTTATTTCTTAACAAGTTAGTGGTATTATGTAGTTCTAGCATGCATTGTAGTAGAATGGCTATTGCAAAAATATCTATTCAATATGAATATGACTAGTTTAGTGCGCAATTGCAATGCGAAAGCACAATACATAATGCAATAGGAAAAGCACGTTATCTATTTTCATTGCACATAAGTTAGTTCTTTATTGCCATGCAACTATCTGCTCTATGCACATCGGAATTAGTTATTGCATGGTAAAGCAACAGCCAATGCAACAATTTCTCTTTTTCACACGAAAGCAACATCTAAATGCAGTAATTTCTCTTCAGTTATTTCTGAATAATTTAGTGGTAGTGTTTAGTTAGTTGTAGTTGTGTGCGAATGCACAAGTGTTATTTGAACAGTGGAATGGGCTAGTAATTTTAGGCATTGTAAACTGACCGCTCTTTTGATGTTTTCTCGTCAGTGCACAAATGAATTAGTTGTAGAT